TCCAGAAGTGTTGTAGCTCCACCAACTATAACTCAGTTGTCACACAGTAAATGGGACTCTGGCAGGCGGTGGCTCCTGTGATCTGCTCATAGTGGGGGCTCAGACATTGTGATGAAAAGCTGCAGCAGAAAGGGGCTGCAATCCCCATTTCCTTCCACTCCCTGTGGTCTTGTTTTCTGTCCCCTGGTCTTAGGAGGACCAGGCTCCTGTCTGCCTGCCCTGGCTCTGTGCTGAAGAAGCAGCATGGCAGCCTCCCACCCATGGACGGCACTGGGTACGGACCATGTTCTGGGGACAAAAGTGGCAGGGGTGGTGGCTCAGTGACCCCAGGCCACTCTGAGGAACAAAACACCTGTGCAGAGGACACCAACAGCGTATCAGTGCCCAATATCTTGGTACCATAGGCATATTGGTCAATGAAATACTGCAGCACTACCTGCACATTGGCCCCATGGCTTGGTGCTCTCCAGTTTGGAAGTCATGCTGACAAACGCTGGGGGGTCCAGTATAATTTCATTTCATATTTCAGGCTAAAATCTCCTCTTAGCAAACTGCAAAAAAACCCACCAAAATATTTCTGCAAATACTGTTAGGTAAACTAACAGAAAGTTAAGAAATAGCCAGTTTGACTTTTCTATGTAATCCAAATTCAGCCCTCGGGGCACACAGTTTATGAAACTCTCTTCAATAATATATTCCTGCAGAGAAGTTCTACAGGACAGACCTTAATCATGACTGATAAGGAAGATTATTGTCTGTAGGAATGTGAGAGGTTTTTTATTTGATGTGCATCCATTTTAAGGTTTTTTAAGGTCTTGCCCTTCCTGGTGGACACGCTGCAGAAGCGCTGCTCGCTGGCACACGGTTATATATTCACTGCATCAGAGGGGGATGATCCACAGAAGCCCAAGTGTGACCTTTGAGGACAGTTCATGAGACTCAACCAAAAGCAACTTTTTACTGTAACCAATACTTGATTAACACTGATTACTTTGATAAGTAATTGGAGCAAGGATGGAAACTGGGTCTGCCTCCTACCAAGTGCATCCCTCTACCTATTCATCTAGAAAGTCATGGTTTAACCCATTACTGCTTAAAGCAGTGTTTTGAAAATACAGGCTTGAATAACCTCAAAAATAAAAATGAACTCATGCCATTGCTCCCTATCACTGAGCAACTTCTAAAGCAAGAGGACATTCCTGTCTACATTTTTGTTTCTGTCCTCGTCTGGAAGGGTCTTACCTAGTTAAGTCAAATTCCAAACTGCTTTTGGATGCAGGAATTTAGAGAAGTGACTTTAATATAAAGGGCTAAGAGCTCTGAATCTTGAGTAGAAGAAACAGCTTTCCTGAAAGCCACAGTAAGGATACTAAATCCATGAAAAGGCTGTGATTTAAGGAATGGTATTCTGCAGTACTTCCCCTTGTCTAGGTTTAGGTGATTCCCTGCTCACTTAGATGGGTAAGTATTTCCACCTCTTCTCAAGTCTAGTAAAGTCAACTGCCCTGATGGTCTGTGAGTCTATTTAGAAGTTTCTACTTGGTACAGAATTAAAATTATTTGGATGTAAAAGAGTGCAGGTGAAGAGAGATCTATACTTCCTTAACTCTAAGCTGACAATGAAGCACCCATATTTATGGGACACTCATGGGACACTCATGACTCTAATCTCCATATGACTTAGCTGAGTATTTGTAAAACAGAAGTATTACCAGCCCTTTTTATCATGAGGGTTTTCTGAAGATAAATTAATTAATGTTTGTTAAGCATTCGGATATTTATAGCAATAAGTGCCATAGAAAACCTCATAAGGAAATTACCAATTCTGTCTTCACAGCAGGGTTTCAATAGTGTGCAGTAAATAAGGCCTAGGGCTACACATTGAAAAATTAGGAGAAAACAAAATATTGAATAACTGCTCATTAACTCAGCATCGTCCATCTTGTTCACTGGCTGAGGCAGGGGTCCTGTGGAAAAAGCTATGTATGATCTTGATTTTAAAAAACTTGATTTTAAAGCAAATGTAGAAGGGGACTGAACTGAACTGCACCAGCTATCTTAATTTTGACATTTCCTAACTCCTGAATATTTTACTCTCCAGCCTTAATGAAGCTGCTTTGAGCTGCTGCAAGACTTTGCCAGCTCCCCTTATAAAAGAACCCTTCTAAGAATGCTTTGTGCAGGGAGATACAGAGGCTGGAAGAATGCCAGAATCATACAAGAAAACAATGTTAATAATATCAAAAGGGAACTTCAGCAAAATTTTGCTCCAGTCTTTTAAAAGAAAATATTGGTGAATCAGCTTACATTTCACAACAACAGTATGCAGCCAATGGGAATTGCCAGAGGAAATGTGGTCAGAGAATATTTACACACTGAAACCAGATTTGGTCATCAGTATTCAACAATGCAGCCTTCCATGCAGTTGCTTTCCCCATATCAAGATTTGGATGTGAACTGGAAGTTAAGTGCCTTCCCAAACATAAGATGCTAGAAATCAAGATTAAATAAAACACTGAAAGCATTTAGAGCTTAAGGATCTGCAAGGATCCATGGAAAAGGTGAGTGGAGTATTAAGAATATGTTGAGAGCAGAGCAGGAACATTACCCTGGCAGGAGTGCTTCTGGAGGAGGACTGCACAGAACAGGCTGGAGGGAAGAAGTATCCCTCTACACAGTCATTCTCAGAGAGGCGAATTTGTGAGGACACACAGCAACAAAAATGGTTGTCTGTTGGACAGAAATCACCAAGCTCTAGCTGTGACTGCAGTAGCATCTAATGTGACAGTGGATTTATATGTGACATCATCATAGCTAAAACAAGACAAAACAAAATTTAAAATGAATTTAATATGTAGCCTGAAAAAAAAAAAAAAGAAAGAGGAAATAAAAATGCCAAACTAATGTATATTCACCTATTGGCAAAGTCCAGTATGTTTTTGTCAGATATTTAATCCCACAATGAGTTTTTTGTTCAAAAAAGAAAAGGGGTAGTTTAGGAAAAAAGACAAAACCAAACAATCCCAAACCCAAGACTTAACAAAATGTTAAGTGCTGATTTGCATAAAAAAGATTAGGTGGGAACACAGTGTATCTTGTGAAAAGAAAAGAAACTCTAAAAATAGTGTGTATAGTAACAAATTCAAAGCTATGAAAAGAAGGGGAAATAGGAAAACAGCATTTTTCATTTTTGTGCCGCTTTGCATCTGCATTCATTAACCAAGGTTTTGTATTTTTTGGCTATTTTTTTCTTCCATCAAAAAAAAAGGAAAAAAAAATTATGAGGAAACCAAAACATACTTGTCATGATGGTAAAATGTTAATTCTGCTAGAAACATTTGCTTATTCTTTCTATCTTGAAACATATAAACCTGTGGGGAGAAATCTTGAGGATATTTTTAAACTGTGCACAATAAACGTTTTAACATTTGCTAGCTGAGGAAATTTTTGCAGTAAAAAGTTTCTCTAGAGAGATTATTTACAATATTAATTTAAGGCCTTACTTTGTAATTCCTCCTCAAAGGAAAAAAATAAATCCCATTGGCTTCAGAGCAAGCAAATTGATTGCTTATGATAACTGCAATGAAGATTCAAATGATACACTTTTGCCAGGGATTGTGTTTCTTTTGTACTACCTTTCCAGAATAATGCTAATTAAATACTTCCTAGAATGCCTTTCAATTAATTAACATATTCTCTCATACTCCTCATTTTACAGTGGCTTTTAAAAATGATTAGGTATTAAATTCAAGATCCCAGGCACCTGATTCAGCAGCAGGTTGCATTGTGCTGAGCCACACAATTTCTTGTCTATACTAACAGTCATATGAGGAGTGAGGGAACTGTGCTGTCCGTAGCTTTTTGGGGGTTTTTTTGGTCATATGTACTTTTTGTGGTGTGTCAGCCTTTAACCGGTCTTGGAAACCCAAGGGGGAAATCCCAGACAGCCTGAAGCCAAGGGGAATCTTGCATTGCCTTCACCCACCCTGTGATTCCATTTCCCTCAAAGCCTTTTTGCTTCGGAGACTACGACTACGTTGCTTTTAGCAGCACCAGACACCGTTCCTAACCACCAGACCTCCACAAAAGACAAGACAGAGAAAACGATGTTAAAGATTTCTTCAGCTGCACTTCAGCCTTAACTGGTGCGACCGTCCAGCTTCGGCAAGGTCGGCTTGGCAAAGCACCTGGAAACATGTGCCTTCAGCAGGGGAGACAGCCCAAAGCAAGGCCTTCCTAGCCCCAGCCGCTTCCAGCACACCATTGTCTCGGGCTGGTGGCAAAGCAGCATCCGTGGCAAATGAAGAAGTGCTGCCAGCAGTGCAGCGCGCGGGGAGCAAGCGTGGCCCGCGTCACGCTCGGCGCAGGCACGCGCGGCCCCGCGCACGCAGCCCGCTTGGTGCTCGAACGTGGACAGACTGAGGAGCATCTGTGCTGGGGGGGATATGGAACAAATAAGTAATTGCTGTTTTTACTAAGTAAAGCAGAAAATTGCAGCATATTAACAGCCAAGCGTTTGTTGCCCGGGAAGAACCATTTGTGTTCCAGTTTGGGCTTTTTTACTCATCTGAAGTCTGCGCCTCAAAGCGCATTAAAAACATTTTAGTTATTATTGTGAGTTTATGTTCTCATGTGCATTTAAAGTGTATAAATATTATGGGGGATGGGGAGAGAAGAAAGTAAAATAAATAAATTCAAGAAAATGTTGTGTATTTTTAGCAGTGCTGGATGCAGTTCTGAATTAGCACCTTAGAAAACATGTAATTCTTTTTAGAGAGCATTTATTGCGTTAAAAATGTGTCCTGGTTTATCAGACAAGTGTGTGGCTATGTGTATGTTCTCTTAGCCACATTCAGCTCTCTTCAAAAAGACATCCAGCAGAATAACACTCTTTAGGGACAGTGTTTCAGGGTTGACAAGAACATTAAACCATATTATAATTATCTCTTCAATGAAAACACGGCTTTGTAGTGGAGGCAATGCACGGTCCTCAAGGCGAGTGTTATTAGGCTGTATGTGTTTTCTTGGAAGGAGATTCATGGAAAGAAAAAAGCTTTTAATTTACTGCAAGGAAAAAAATACAGAGTACATGTCATGCATAGCAAAAGGGATTTTACAAAGAAGGCACTAAGTTGAGTGCCTCACTTATCTTCAAGAATGCTTCTACATAATAAGTGTGGGGATTGGTTTAACACAAGCTACAATATAGATATAACACACACATACAATTCCCTGTGACCGTTCATATAGATAACTGCAAAAAATTGTCTGTAAAGTAAGGTAAATATAAAGCAATTGCCTCCTGTGACATAAATGGGTTCTGTCTCATTCTTTGAGAGGTCACCACTGAACAGAATACATTCTTATGGCACTGCAGATAATAAAATCTGTTATTCTTAATGTGAATACAAGGATTTTCTAACCCATCTTCCACATTCAAAATACTGTTTTCTCAAATTAATCTGAAATTATAAAGTATGAGTCCTGAAACAGCAAGCAAAGTTACAAACTGCACCAAGAAGATTCTAATATGTTCATAAATGACAGTATTTAATATGCATATCTTACACATACTGTCCACACATGCACATTTGGATTTATTTATTCACATAAAAAAAAAGAACACTATGGATTTTTAATACTTTTGCAAATGCCTGAATTATTTTAAACCAGGAATTTTCTTCTTTTTTGTGAAAATGAGATTGCAACTTTGTTTTCTTTATTGTGTTGGCAAGTGGATAGATTTAAATTCCTTAAAATTGAATGAACTAGAAGAAAGAAACTAATGATGTTAACCAACAGTTATATATATCCTGAACACAGCAAACACCCACAATATTATGAACATCTTGTGTTAATGGAGAATTAATTGTAAAGCTGTGGCATTTCAGTTGTGTGCAGGCAAGTCCAGGCACACACAGGCATAAACACAAAAGACAACAGCCCCACTAAACAGCTACCAAAAATATACCCAATTGGCCTAATACTAGACACAACAGCTTGAGCATTTGTAGGAAAAAAAAGTCAGAAACTCACCAAATCTTAGTTTTAAAAGCACATTAGGTATCCAGAGAGAGAGCATTCGGAACAGTCAATTACTTTCACATTTTGTCCCAGGACTTTAAAAGTTAAAGGCATAGTTCTGCCAATTGTGAGATGCCCCATCCAGCACAGACCACCCACAACTACTGATTTTCCATCTGGTGAACAAAACAGACATCTCCCTAATTATTTTTAAAAAGGTTTTTTTTTCTAACATACTTCCTTTATTTGTCTGTGACCTGGAACTTAATGGAAAACCTGGTAGATGCCAACCTCATTTCTTGTAATGAAGCATCTTATTTTCCCTACTTTAAGCATGCTTATTTAAAGGCTATTTAATAGAAAGTTATTACCTAAGCTGATCTTTGATAGAACCTAAATTACTAAATAGTTTGAAATTAGAACAACTTTATATCAAACCTTAAGTGTTCTAGTTAAATATTAACCGTTAAAAGACCTTCCCTTAAAGCAGCATATTACAACAGGAAGCAATGAGGTTTACAGTCTCATATGCTGGGTTCCCATATTGCCAGTGTCAAAATTTATGCCTTTTTTCAGCAATATGGTTGCCATTGCCAGCACCACACTTATAAATGCCAACTGTAATTAAAATCTGGCACCTTATACAAGCATTAAACATGCTTACAGATTAAAAAAAAAAATCTTTATTTTAAAATACTCATGGCAGCATATGCAGGCTTAAAAAAACGTTCTTCTTCTGCCAGTTTTAGAAACATCACAGGAAAAAAAATCAAGGTCCAAGTTGTCCTGAAAATCGGTCCAGAGAAATCTAAACACTGTGCTAAATTTCATAGTGGATGTATTTGGGGAAGGGATGGCAAAATCTGGATTTTTGCTTGAAAGGGGTGAAAAGAAATAGCATATTTAAAAATCTGGAGCCTCGTCAGACACACAGGGCAGGTAACACAGCCTTTATCTCAGCGCCCTTTACACTGGCGGTTACAGTTCAATAAAGATGTAAAGCCCCATCGCTGTCACAGTGAATGCCCAAGCAGGGCTGGGGATCCCGCAGCCCACTAAGGGAGGCTGCAGAGAAGAACAGAGGCTGGGATGAACCCATAGCCTGTTCATCTTAATAGTTTTGGGGATGTAAACATGATCATCTGGGCTTTTCATCCCTTAAACACCCATCATTGCTGCATTGCTGTGCCTCCAAGGAGAGAGCACCAGGCTGGGTGGCCAGTTAAGAACAATTCTCTCCCAGGCTTGTCAGCAACAGAAGTGATCAGCAGGAGGCTCCTGGAGGCTCAGGACACATACAGGGCTGCCTTGGGAAATAACCTTGGGGAAAATGGGGAGCTGAGGGAAACAGGCCATTGTACCCATCAAAATGTCCAGCATAAATTCCTTTTCTACTTATTAGTGTGCTACTTCTAAGTTACACAGCTGTCTTATGGACTTGCTGGAGATGAAGAACCCATGTCCATGAGAGCTCAAAACATAAAAAAGCTACCCAGGCACACAGCAGCAGGTGCACAAACGGGGTGCTGCAGCACCCTGAGATTGCTTCTTGGTCTGGCAGCACTGCACCAAGCACTGCACTGTGCTGCTCCAGTCATTCACCTTGGCTAAGAGGTGAGGAAGAGTCATCCAGCCACACTGTCAAGTAAGTTGCTGGAGAAGAACCACCTCTCAGAAACTCAGCACCACCTGGGGACTCTGACGGTGGAGAATTGCCAAAAAGATTTTTAAACAGCAACTGAAAGCAGTGTTTCTTCAAAGCAAATTGCCATTTACAGAACAGCTTCCAAAGTGACCAGTAGATGGAGAGGAACCATGGTGGCTCTGTCCCAGAGCTTGGGACACCACGGACCAAAGGCACAGGACTCGGCAGCGTCTCTGCCGCAGAGGCGTGATGACCGGGACGCTCTGTCGTGACCTCCATCCACCTCATTCTGCTGGTGCCTGAAGCAAGGTTGTTTCTCGTGATCCTACCTGCAGAAGAGGTAATTAAATTTCATTGTGGGGTGTCCCGTGTACCAAATGTTTATGGACAGGTCTGAAAAATTGTATCTTCACATTTTCCTGACATCGCTTTCTTGGCTGAATTTCTGAATCCTTATGTCAAGTTTGCACTGATGTTTAGATTTGCTTCCAGGTATTTCAGTTATTGATGACTTTCAGCAGGATTAAATCTTTAAAGACACTTTTCTTAAAAATAAACTACACTACCAAATGGGAAACCTTGAGTTAGATAATTAATTTGAAGCATGTTTTCCCATGTAAAGGTTTCAGTTATTTTCTTGGAGAAAGGTTAATTCTCAGTTTGTAACCACTAAAGTATGTTGCTTTGTAACTAAATATAGCTTTTACACTAAATTTGGCACTTCTTACTGCTAGCCAGAAGGACAGAGTAGCTCTGCTGATATATATTTAAACTTTTCTATACCTCATTATACATTTTTTTCAGATTAATTTTACTGTTTTTATTAGAAAATTATGTATGGCACAATTCTTATTTACTAGTTGATCTCTTTGTGTTTACTAAGGATTTATGTTTCTTTGGATGAAAACTGGAATACAATTTAAAACGCAATGAGATGGCTTATTGCTTGCATAGCAATCTGAGAGAGGCTGGACTTGTAAAAAGATTCTGATTAGATTAAAAAATTTATCTATTAAAATAACTCAGTATTAACTAGAATTAGCACCAATTTAGTATTTGGTCTTAATAGCCTCCAATATTGAAGTATTAGCAAATCTAATCCTCTCATAATTAGCTTTTATTCACAGATTGGTAGAGAAGAACAAGCTTTTATGCTTCCTTCAACTCCCAATTGGTCAAGTTTGAATAAATTAGTCATTTAACTGAGCTAATTGAATATATTGAAGAAAATATTCTCTTGGTACTTGCAGAGGAGGCTATGGATCTCAAAAGCCAACACAATACTTCAAACACTTTGGGCTTCCAGAGTTTAGATTTTGATTTTCATCAGCTGAATGGTTTGATCCACAACCTGGAAGCACTGTTTCTGGTTTGGTTGGGGGTGGCAGATTATTATTCAAACACATTACAGTAAATTTAGGATTTGCTGTAATTTTATTAGGCATATTTTTAGGAATAAATAGACCCAGCATAAATTTTTGAAAACTGTTTTTCTTATTTATTTCTTGATCACAAATTGATTTCAGTTCTCTGCTTATCATTTAGTTCCAGAATTTTTTTCTTTAATGGAGGAATATACCATCATTACCATTACTGGTGGCAGAAAGCAGCAAGACCTACATCTCATAGATTTTATATAAAGATGCCAGAACTTAATTTTTTATCAGTTGTAAACAGGCTGCAGTGGTCTGAAAAAGAATCTGGCAGTGTCTAAAGTGTTAAAAATTTTCAATGTCTTTCTTTCCTAAACTAATTCCCTTTATGGTTGTGGAGTGAAGACATCCTGCAGGCCCCACTCTCCACACTGCAGACCTTGTCAGGCATTGCAACAGATCAGTCTTGCAAGGGGTCAGAATTCCTGTCTCTGAAGCCAAGGCCTCCCAACATATTTGCAGTCTGCAATACCAGAAAGGCACAAACTGTTGCTGGTTTGCCCCACCAAATATATGCTTAGGTTCAAAACCATTTAATTTTGCCATTACCATTGCATAATCAATGTCATTTTGTACAGTCACAGATTACAATACCAAACCTAAACTATCATGTCTATTTTTGTTTCTTAGATTCTGCCATTTGTTGGTCATGTTTTCAGGTTAATATACCATTTTCCAGGCAAAAGCAGTCAAAGAAGCTGATAAAAAATACCCAAAGCAAAAATGCCCAAAGAAATGTAGCCATTTGAGAGCACATTCATTTTCTGGTTTATGTTGTTCAGGAACACCAGTGCTGAGTTTCTGTGAGAAAACATGCTGCCAATGGCACGTGTCTTAGATGATCATACTGACATTAAAGAAAAGGCTGACTTAACTGAGCTCTTTATCATTTCAGATATACTCAAAGGAAATCCACTGTGACTGCATAAAGACCACAGTGCACTACAATTTTGTCTTAGAAATTACAAATCTGGAAATGCCAAGTCAACTTTCACACCCTGAATGTGTCCCTGTGCAAGCACTGTGTTACTGTGGCTTCCTTTTTTTTTTTTTTTTTTTTTTTTTTTAAGTTTGTGTATAAGACATGGTTCTCTTCATTCCAAATTACTGAATCTAGGCAAGATTTTCCCTATTTTAAGGTTCTCTACTGGAATGAAAAGAAATGTTAGGAAATGCCACACCACTCTTTGGTAAGTCATTTTCATTTCTTTCCTACATTTACCTGGCCAGATGAATGAGAAATGGGGCTTGAGAGCACTCAAAAGGGAAGGAAGCACTGCTCAGGTTCTCTTTGGCAGAGAAGGTAAAGTATGTAGGTGGGAAGGAGCCCCTTTGATTTTTATCCTTAGTAAGTTTATAGCATCAAAAGCTCTGATGCCAGGCTTCCCTACCTTCAGACAGACGTGATCCAGTGCAACCAAACTTCTCGAGAGTCAAGAGTTTATGTCCAGCATTGTAGACAAAAAAAAAAAAGAAACTTTTCCTCCTAAAATGACATTCTTCCTCCTTAGGTAGAGAAAGGGAGACAAAAACAAATTCAACCTGTACCCTCCCTGTAGGTACCACAGCCTTTACCCTAAGATGGGCCCTGTTCAGCATGCTGTGCTTCATGTGCTGTGGAAGCAACTGGTGCAGACTGGTAAGCAAACAGCACAAATGTCAAACTGTCCACACTGAAAGACACGGATGTGCTTGAAGCATGACAAAAGTAAAGAAACACATGGCAAGAGAGGGACTCTTCAAGCTGAAAGAGTGTCATGAGTGAGAAAACACACAACCAGTAACAGAAGCAAAAGGGGAAGGAAAAAAAATCCCAGAGGAGCAGGGCCCAACCCACTGAGAGAGATGGAGATTTTTGGAATCAGTCTGCCTTTTGTAGAGCAGTTACTGGCTCCACCAAATTTGGCTGACGGGCTTCCTTACAGCATGTGGATGTACCTTGCACAACAGCCCTGCTGGGCTGACAGGTGAGTAAAATTGTATGCAAGAGGGTAAGAGAAGAACAATGCAGAAAGATAGGAGCTTTTCTTACCCAACACCATTAACTTTCAGAACTTCATTCAAAAAAAAAAAAAAACTGGAGAAGATTCATACAAATAAAAAACTGCAATCCAAGGGAAGGATCATTTTAGGAAGAAACTGCAGAATTATGCTTTCTGGTAGATGTGATACCTGAACCAGGCAGGTTCTAGATACAGTGCTCTTCATCTTCAGATAGCCTCTCTTGCAGCAGGCCACCACAAGAGGTTATCCTGCAGCTCTAGAAACACCAGCATCACAATGTGTAAGAAAACAAAGCCTCTAATTAAAAATGTCATTGCATATTTTCGTTATTTATGGGTACTGTGAAACATGTATCTCAAGGAGTAAGTTAAAGTAGGGCACAGAAGGAACATGTGCCTTTGGAAAATCATGTACTACCTCTTCTGCACTGCTTCTGTGGGGAAGTACTGAAAAGCTCAACCCCATGGGTCTTGGGCAGGGCTGGCACATCAGGAGAAAACACCATCCCACACCGAGTTGTTTAACACAATGTCACATCTCTTTTCCTGTGAATTAAGCTGGAAAAATATTTACTCCATGGTTTGAATCTGCTTGGAAGAGAGAGGGACTCCATAGCAGCAGTCCCTGCACAGAGCACCATTTCAGTGGATTGTGTCAGGTAAGTAGCAACTACAATTTTTTTATTATTCAACAGATGTTTGCTGGTTACAGTGAAACTACAGAAAGGTCTAAAACTTGCATGTCCTTAAAAATTAAACTACCTTCTCAAACTCATGATTATTGTTTATCACTTCTAGGTTGAGAGAGGGCTATGTGGAAAAAATCTTGGCTCTGCATTGCCGCTGAAACAGTGCCAATAACAGAAAAACCTCAGACTGAAGAGGGGGTGCCCAACTGCAAACTTTTACAAGCCCTAAAAACTTACACTGTACATGAAGTTTCAAAAACTGAAGATGAATTACATGTTTTGTTTTGCACAATGCCTGTTGGAATTATATCTACTTCTAATACTACTCTCTTCATAAAGTTACCGTTGTTCTCACCACACAGCACACCAAGAATCATTCAAATCTGGGGAAGTCCTGTTTGTTGTTTGACATGGTTTATCTATTTATCTAAGCCCATGTGTTCCCAGGAGAAATGGCAACACATTAGTTCCCTCCTGCCCAAGCAAAATAGAAACCCTTTGTATTATATTACATTATATCATAAACTTTGGTAACCAGTATTTGCCTTCCCAAAAAACCACACATGTTGCCCTCTGCCTTTAGCAGGCACACATGGGTTCCAACTGCCTGCCATTAAGTTTCAGGTTTTAAAACCTGCAAACAAACAGAGGGTAGAAGTTAAAATTATGCACTGCTGCTAAATTTGCCGTGCGTACTGCAAGAGGATAGTCTGAAAAAACCATGTTCACAGTTCAACATTTAAACAAAAATGAACAAACTGATTAATTAAAAAAGCGAGGGATGATTTTGAGTTTGTATTTTTGATCTGCTACAGCTCTTTTCTCCTCATTTAACTATCTGTCCATACAGAGAACACAATCAGCCAAGACTTTGAGTGACCAGGATCAGTGAGATAGATTTTGGGACACAAAGTAATGGGAGCCTTTTATTTCTGTTCCAAGCAGTAAAGCTGCTGCAGGGTGAGGCGGGAGCAGGCAGCAAAGCCAGGGCGTGTGAAGGGGACTGGCCATTAACTTATCAGTTCCAGGCCTTAGCTTTCTAATTGACAACCTCAGGGCTACTTTCATCACTTGTCGACTTCAAACCCACACTCAATTTTTTCTTTAGATAATGATGCAACTATAACATAACAGTGTTTCTGACATATTGCAGCATGTAGCAGTAGGAAGATTTCCTCAGTAGCTTAGTTTAACAAGAAAGTAA